CCACACTGTGACTGCTGCACAGGGACTGCTTAACTGTGACTGCTGCACCATGTCTACTGTACTATGTCTGCCACACTGTGACTGACTGCTGCACAGGGACTGCTTAACTGTGACTGCTGCACCATGTCTACTGTACTGTGACTGCCCAACTGTGACTACCAAACTGTGACTGCTGCAGCATCCTACTGGAATAGGATATAAACACCCTGCACACACCCAAAAGGCATTAAATGTTGCAGGATGTTTTGGGAAGGAATAAGTCAGATCAGAACTCTGAAAGAAGATTAAGTGCACCATTAAGCTTTGGAAGCTGATGTGTTTTACTTGAGAGATCTCGAAAAGCAAGTTTTTCTTCTGAGACGTGTTGTGTGAGTTTATTGGTTTCTTCTCATTGCTATTCTGGAGGCACTCAGTGTGAAAGAAGCCTGTCTGATTCCTTCATCTCACAGTTGGCTGCAAAGAGGTCCCTAGAACATCCACCAAGCGACGATCAAAAAGAGAGCCAGAGAGAGACAGATTATTTACAAAGAAATAAAGATATTACACTAAGCCCCTTTGTGAGAAGAGATTTCAGCTGCATTTATGTTGTGTTTCTATTCTCTCATGACTGCGCTAAAGTGATATCACACAAAAATGGGTCCTGTTGTGCCATGGAGCCTGACTGATGGTTGGTAGCGAATCCATTTGTGACATGATGTGTTTCTGCGTCTCTTTGCTCCCTAAATGGCGAGGAATTCAGCCCTGTGTTGGGGGAGAGGCAGGAGGTGGGGGGGGGGCAGAACCTGAAAATAATACTTTGTGTCTGTTGGGGGCACAGAAATGTCAGATTTCTTCCCTCCCTTAGAGGCCGAGGTGCTCCCACAGTCTCATCAACGATCTGAAGAGGAGGGCCGTCTTCTGGCCAGAGGGGGGCACCCTGACTCCTGCCCTGGCGACGCCCTGACTCCCCACGGTGCTGCTGTTGAGGAGCATCCCACACGGCAGAAAGGTGAACAGGTCTTCAAGCAGAAAGACAGCTTATTTCAGCCCTGCACCAACAGGCTTTTTCAGTCTCATCTGGATTAACAGGAGACCAGCTTCCTCTGAAAGCCTCAGCCGATCCGCAGATGTCATTTGGATAAACGCCTGCAGGGATGTGGCGAGAGCCTCTGGGGGTGTGTGGATTAAAGCTTTTACTTATTTGTTTGCCTTAAAGACAAAATGGTTTGGGGTCTTACGCTGGTCCCGCTAATCTACAAGCCAGCACCTGTCCTCCGCACAGGATTCGGTGGCCCTATTAGCTGATCCACGGGGAAAACTGTTTATCGGTACACGGTCCGAATCTGTGTTTAATTAACATCAAAACCATTCTGCTCTCCTCCCAGGGAGCTGGGCTGCTTTGGGTATGCTAATCTCAGAGTGAGAAAAGGCGGTCAGCATGCAGCGCCCACATCAGGCTCCAAAGAAGCAGCATCACGCTGGCGGCTCCAGGAAAGTCGCTACATGGCAGAGCGCGTGGGCGGACAGGGCAAGATCTGACAGCGCCAGAGATCCCATGAGAGTCTCAAAAACGCTCTGGCAAAATCAGTGCGTTCCAGATGGCAGGGCCAGCTCCAGTCAGACGTGTGGCCATCAGTTGGAATGGAGAATGTTCCTTAGGAACAGGGAGGATTCAGCTGGGGTGCAGCAAGTGCAGCGTAGACCATGCTGACGGCCCGAGCCAGGGAGGGGCACCCAGGGAGGGGCACCCAGGGAGG